CCCCATGTCGTTTTCGTTGGGTCACCTTGTATAGAGTATTTAATATTAAAGAAAATTTACTTATAAATAATCATAACCTTTGAACAAAATATAAATTCAACACATCGATCCCATATTATTATACAGAAATACTGAATAATTTTAAAAATTATTAAAACCAGTTGTGAAGTTTGAAACGAATAAATTGGTAATGAAACTGATATTTTTCCACTTCTTGAAAAAATATTTCCAATAAAACAAGAAATAGTTTACAATAAAAATATTTAGCCAAGTTTTCACATTTGCAACATGTACCAGTCCGGTTCTGTTTATTTTAAAATAAACAAATATGGCTGACAATAAAAACTCTAGAAAATAAATAACTTACCGAAATAAATGCAGGTTTACTTTATATCAACGTCACACTACGCACTTTTATAATAAATACAGCTTTTTATAACACACCTTGGCATTTTCATCGTTAATTTCCACAATTTGTCACTAAAAGATCAAATTAGTTATCGTCGACACGATAGATTTGAATTAAATTTGTATGAACAACACTCTGACATGTGACATTCTACGACTTACTTAACAGTGATTGGTCGGTGTGAATAGTTTCGAAGTGGATTCATGCGCAGTGTCTTATCTTCTATCTATTGTTTGTATAATTTAAGTTTATAAACTATTTACAGTGACATTGGCTATTTCCGGATCATTACCTAATTTTTTCTACACCCGTATTATAATAATGCACTTATATGCCCATAATCCGTTTCATAATGATACCCATCATGATACAGATTTTTCATAACGATACAGATTTTTAATCAATAGAAACCTATAATTTTTCAATCAAGCATGCTGTGCATTTGACGTTTGTCCTAGGTTCCTATGTAATTGTTTTAGTTGTCAAAATCAGTACGTATTAAATTTTCATAGATAGCTAAACTTCGATAATTATATTATCAAAATGTCTAATATCAGCGATATAGGAGACGTACCATCGGTATTATGTATTCTTTTTATTGTTGGTGTTCTGTAGATTTTTAGATTTCTTCAAAATTATAGTACATGTTTTGGGAAGCTTCTTGAAGACTCTTGGACTGACTCGCTGTTAATGAAACCCAAAAATTTAACATAGAAGTTATAATAAATTAAGAAGTATATAAAATAATTTTATTCATTTCAAATACATACATAGTTGAGCGTTTTATACGTATGAACATATAAAAAGTACACATACTGTACAAAAACATACACTATTCAGTACTATGAATACGCTGTATTAGTGTGCCAAACAAAAACAAGCCATTCAGTTTGATGTAACCCAATAATTTTTAATGTAGGGGAGGGACGGACAAAGTGAAATAGGCGGACAACGTGAAATTTCTGTTGACCTTTTTTTTTTAAATTGGCGGGCCTAAATTTTTCTATCACAATAATTTAACTTGATCTAGTTGGCATCTCTGAATGCAATATGGCTATTGTAGTTTCAATTGTTTGCAGGGTGTATAAACTTTTAGTATTTTGAGATAAAAATTGTAATATTTTGAGTATCTTGTGGAAGGTACCAATAATAAAAGGTAAGAGATTTTTGTACATTCTATTCTTCAGTTATATTTTAGATGTTTAGAAGCATTTTAATGTGTTTATAGACCCTATTTTTCTATTTGGTGAAGAGGTAGTTTTTTTATTACTTACCGCGTCACAGCGGGTAAAGTGAAAAATAGATGCTGCGGGAAAAGTGAAAAATAGGTAGGCAAACTGAAATATTTACATTCAAAATTCGTTTTTTCTCGCATGCTATGACCATGTTTATTACCCTATTGTTTATGTTCAGACAGCAAATGGTTTATAAGTATAAAAGAAAAGCGGCGCACCAATCTTGAGAGAAAAATAGTATGGAACGAGCCAAAAGCACTGAAGCATGGCTTTTTTGATGTGCCCGAATTGGCCACTTATGCCACCCATAAAATATTTATTTTTTTGCTTTGTGGTATATTAAACCTTTCTTATTCCTATATTTTGTATTATTTCACTTTTCCCGCAACATGGCGGTCAAAGTGAAATTTGCACCTCCTCAGATTTTTAATTATTTTAATTTTAGTGTGATGAAGTTCGCGGTTCTTACTTAATACATTCTAAACGTTAATAATGCAGCTACCATGTGCGAATAAGTTAGGTTTTTTGAGTGCACCCACAAGATCACACGACACTTTCAAAGGTTAACTAATCCACTTTGTCCGACCTTCCCCTAACTATTGCAGTGAAAATAGTTTTATATTTTTGAAAATAATAGAAATAAATGTAAATTGACATAACCTCTAATTTTATTTTTATTCAAGGTTTTAACATTAATTGTTCTTGCTTCTTTTAAGAATTATTATGGTAGTAAATAATAGGAACTTACTTATAAAAACTATCGAAAAATGTGAAAGGAAATAAATGTTATCTTTATTTTATTGGGAAAAATTGAATTGGTTAGTAAACGATTATATAATAATTTTATGATAACATAAAAGTTCAAAAATTATGTAATATAGTAATAAAACACAATCAGAATATTAACCAAATCTACTGTCATTATCAAATTTGTTTGGCACACAAATTACATAATTACTAATACAGCATATATCTCATCTTATGTAACATATCCCTATTAAATATTAAATGCAATACTTTAGAGAAAAATAAGGTATCATACAGCACGGGTAGTTAAAAACTTACCCCAATAAGGGGCTAATAGTTACGATGTTTTCCTATCCCTGAATAAATATAAAGATAATGTACACTAGGATAAGCATATGTGAAAACAAACAAAAAATATTTCATTCAGAGTCGTGTATAGTTACCACGATCATAACTCATCTCTGTCTTTGTCAGTAATAATTTATTTCACCATCTTTCTCATATGTAAATATTTAATTGCTTTACTTTTGTCATTATTGTTAATCTATTTTTTTGTAGTATATGCCTGATGATGGTCACATAGGCTGAAAATAGTTGTACAAACTATTCTAAATTAAATATTCTGGTATCGATTTGACGGTGTTTTATTCCTCTTGAATAAAAGACCACATTAGAGAATATGGATAATATTCACTATTATTGATAAAGATGAAATATTAGTTCCAGGCTAGCCAGTAGATATGCAAAGCTAATAATATAATAATACTCTCCCTAATTCACCCCCTTACGAGTGAATTTTAACCCCAAAAGCTGAGCTTGTCCGGGGAAAGGACGGCTATTATTATTATTTGCCGTGGCGCTCCGGGGCGACTTAAAGATGATTGATGGTGCCATTTGACTTACAGGTGAGGAAAACCCGGAAAACCTCACCCACCATCATCGAGACGGTAATGTATGGCGAATTTTTTTAATCTGCATGTCATATTAACAGAAATTGAATTTCTATTAATACGCCACACATCAAATCCTAAACCGAACCATGCAATTTAATTAAAAATCCACATGGTCTGGTCTGGGATTCGAAACCCAGCAGTCTCAGACTCATAAACTTGCCTATAAATGAATATAAGCGCGATAGACCGCTACACCACCTGGCGCAGTACTAAAAATATTCAATAGCAAACTACTGTGCTCTCCCAAGACACCTCTCGGCGATATTATCAATCAGCAGGCTTTTTGACAAGCTGAGAGGCAGTCCCTATATGCCTCTGGAGGATGCACAATGAACTTAGTGGGATCTAAGTGATCTTCCCACCTTACAGATACTGTGCTCTTTTAAATATATTTTTTTATACATATATAACAGTGCAAGTACAGGGTACAATGCATAAGCCTTTCAGGTCCATTTTTTTTGCAAAAAAAGTTAATATGTTCTTGCACAGTTTAAAATTCTGAATCATTCGGTACTTAAATGAGTTGTCTAGCTCGATAACTAAGCCTACTGTGACGTATAGTAGGTTGAGTTCCTGTCAATTACTGTGCATATAGCGGCCGGGACTTGACTGGGTTATCCACATTACACTTTAGAAAAAGTCATCAATCAAGAAAAATTAAAACGCTTGTGCATAGAATGAAATACTAAAAAAAACATTATTAAATATTTTGTTCTTGAAAAATTTTATATATCTCGGACTTGGATAGCTTATACATTGAACAACTATGTTGTTTGTATATTTTTTCTTTTCCTTGAATAACTGCTCTAATACGTAAAAATTCAAACACTATACTCGACGCGCCGAAGAGATGCAGCAATAAAACTGCGTAATCAAAAAGTGTTGGTTATAGGGACAAGAGCAGGTCTTTTAAATTATTATGGGGGGTGAACCTTGAATATTTGTAATTATTTTAACATCAATAATAATAATAGATGTAGGGAATCTACAAGTCGAATTAATCACAGAGATCTTTGCCAAAGAAAGTAAATCCAAATTAAAAAAAAAAACGAGAACGGCCAACGGTACCACAGAAAACAGTCCGCTTTGAAATGATAAACTAAAACACTCACCTAGCCGTTGGCTCCTCATCTATTATTAACGATCTACAGACGGCAATCGGACACGTCACTGCATCTCTTCGGCGCGGCGAATATAGGGTATTATTGTTTCAAAAAATCAGTTTTGAGTCCCTTAAATTAATCAGTTTGAGATAAATTACGTTTAAAAGTAAAGTATAAAATAATTTTTAGGAATAATTCGTTATCATTTTCTTTATTATCCATACTCACATGTTTGTTGACAAAAAACTATATCTGACAAAAACAGAGAATAGGATAAAACTGATGTTCATGCTTATGCTTATCCTGAGTGTTATATTATGTAAAAAGTAGTATTCGAAAAATTTTAATACAGTCTCTGCATATGATAACTGTTTATGTATTAAATAAGAGGATGATCCCTTTAATTTCAAAATTAAACAACTGATCTAAATAACAACAAAAAAAAACAACACAATCACATAAATAAATAATTTCATACATCTAACTATCTAAATAATTCTATAAGCTTATGGAGCTTTCAGAATGATGACACTTAATGATATCAATAATTATACTAACAACTACTTAACGAGTAATTTATATTGCACATCCTAAGATGACGAGCTTCATTCATGAAACTTTGTAAATTATGTACAAAAGTTGGCATATCCTAAAAAAACAAATACAATTTAATAAACAATAAGTAATTTATATAGGATGTCCAGAAACATATACAAAAAGGTTTTCAAAAGAGAGCTCTTGAAGATGATACCTCGACATTTATGCAAGCAAACTGACATTTTTCAAAAAGTTATGTTTTATATTAATGTAAATATTCTTCGTTTATATCTATCTATTCTAAATAAATTATGTTATTTACTTACAGTGTCATAATTGTGCTGAAAATTTCCCAATAACATGGTACGTTGCTCATTTGATATTCCTTCCATACTTTGTACAAACTTTTTAAGGAATGTCGAGTAAAATCCTTCGAAATTCACAGCCGCCATATTATATATAGCCATTTGGACATCGTCCATCAAAGATGACTGAGATTTGTCTAATAAACAGTTAATAAGAACGGTCAAGAATTCGGCTAGAAGGTGGCAGCGAAAAAGCATCTACGAAACAAAATTTTAAATTAAGAATTAGGTGATTAGCTGCTAAAATCTTCCTAATATATAAATGCAAAAGTTTGGATGTATGGATGGATGTATGGATTGATGTATGGATTGATGTATGGATTGATGTATGGATTGATGTATAGATTGATGTATGGATTGATGTATGGATTGATGTATGGATTGATGTATGGATTGATGTATGGATTGATGTATGGATTGATGCATGGATTGATGTATGGATGGAAGGATGCATGGATGGATGGATGGATGGATGGATGGATGGATGGATGGATGGATGGATGGATGGATGGATGGATGGATGGATGGATGGATGGATGTTTGTTGCTCAATCACGTCAGAACGGCTAAACGGATCTGGATGAAATTTGGCACAATGATAGGTTATAATCTGGAATAGCAAAGTGGCTACTTTTTATCCCAGAAAATGTACGGTTCCCGTGGGATAGATTTGTTTTTGATTTTCACAGAACAAGTGATTAGGCATGATTATTTGTATAGTGGTAGTGAAACATGAAAATTTGAAATACAACTATGTAGTATAAATAAATATTGACGTGCTTAAGGGTTTTTGAATTTTTACATTATAAGGGAAGGAAATGGGGGTTGAAAGTTTATATGGAAGTATCGATTTTTTAAAGGTAGAAACTTAAAAATTGGAATTATAGCTCATCACAAATAAATAAAAGCGCGCTTCAGAGTTTTTGAATTTTCATATTTTAAGAGAGGAAAGGGGGAAGGGGAAGTAAGAAACGGGGGAAGGGAGAAAGGAGGAAAGGTGGAGGAAAGAAAGAGAAAGGTGGGGTGAAAGTTTGTAAGGGGTAATCGATGTTTAAAGGTAGTAACTAGAAAATTGGAATTCTAGCTACTTATCATAAATAAATATGTTTCAGGGTATTTGGATTTTTACATATAAAGGGGGTAAACGGGAGTTGAAAGTTTGAATGAGACTTTCGGTTTTTTATAGGTAGGAATTGGAATTGTAGCTACTCATCATAAGTAAATAATGATGTATTTCAAGGTTTTGGATTTATACATTTTAAGGAGAGGTGGGGAATGGGAAGTATCGTAAAAATAAAAATAAATAAAAATAAATACAAATAAATAAAAATAAATAAAAATAAATAAAAATAAATAAAAATAAATAAAAATAAATAAAAATAAATAAAAATAAATAAAAATAAATAAAAATAAATAAAAATAAATAAAAATAAATACAAATAAATAAAAATAAATAAAAATAAATGAAAATAAATAAAAACTATTAAAAGTTATTAAAAAATGCTAAAAAAATAATTAAAAAATGAAAAATAATAAAAACAATAAAAATTATTAAAAAATAATAAGAGTATCGAAAAAATAAATATTAAAAATTAATAAAAATAATAAAAATTATTTAAAAATTTTTAAACACGAAAAATTATTAAAAAATATTAAAAATTATTAAAAAATATTAAAAATTATTAAAAATTATTAAAAACTATTAAAAATTATTAAAAACTATTAAAAATTATTAAAAATTATTAAAAATTATTAAAAATTATTAAAAATTATTAAAAATTATTAAAAATTATTAAAAATTATTAAAAATTATTAAAAATTATTAAAAATTATTAAAAATTATTAAAAATTATTAAAAATTATTAAAAATTATTAAAAATTATTAAAAATTATTAAAAATTATTAAAAATTATTAAAAATTATTAAAAATTATTAAAAATTATTAAAAATTATTAAAAATTATTAAAAATTATTAAAAATTATTAAAAATTATTAAAAATTATTAAAAATTATTAAAAATTATTAAAAATTATTAAAAATTATTAAAAATTATTAAAAATTATTAAAAATTATTAAAAATTATTAAAAATTATTAAAAATTAATAAAAATTATTAAAATTTTTTTAAACATTATTAAAAATTATTAAAAATGATTAAAAATTATTAAAAATTATTAAAAATTATTAAAAATTATTAAACATTATTAAAAATTATTAAAAATTAATAAAAATTATTAAATTTTTTTTAAACATTATTAAAAATGATTAAAAATTATTAAAAATTATTAAAAATTATTAAAAATTATTAAAAATTATTAAAAATTATAAAAAATTATTAAAAATTAATAAAAATTAATAAAAATTAATAAAAATTAATAAAAATTAATAAAAATTATTAAAAATTAATATAAAATAATAAAAATTAATAAAAATTATTAAAAATTATTAAAAATTATTAAAAATTATTAAAAATTATTAAAAATTATTAAAAATTATTAAATATTATTAAAAATTATTAAAAATTATTAGAAAATAATAAAAATTAACAAAAATTATTCAAAATTAACAGAAATTAATAAAAGTTAACAAAAATTAATAAAAATTAGTAAAAATTAATAAAAATCATTAAAAATTAAATCAATAAAAATTAATAAAAAATTATTAATAAAAATGAATTAATAAAAATTAAATTTCTAAAAAAAATTCCAGGATCGCATGAAAAAATTTCTCTAGAGCAATTGCGTCACGGTTATTCATTTTAATAATTGAGGTTTGATAAATTCCAGACAAACGGGATCGGGTCAGCTAGTCATTAATAATTTAAAAACGTACAAAAGGTTTTTTCACAAATTAACTTCATGTTGAAAATTATAAAAGTAAAATTTGTGTTTAAAAAAAAGGTCCGAGTAAATCCTATTAACAAGTAGTTTCTATTTATCGTTTATGTGACACATTATGATAACATTCGGATCTAAAGACAAAAATTCAGAAATATCGGAGGCTGATGCATGAAAGAATAATTAACACTAAAACCTCACAAGACCACAAATACAGTAAAGTATCCCACCAACATGACTAAAGTCACCAGTAATGAAAGGGGTACAGATTACAATAACTGCATAGTAACCAAAATACTCAGGAGACATTAAGAAAAAGTCACCCAAAAATGGTGGCACAATAAACCTCGAGGGCCGAAGTGCCGCTACCTTTACTTTAGACAGATTAGGGTCCAAGAGCAGTTGTATTATTTTTGAATTTAGGATTCACCGTTTCCAAAGTATTAATAGGAAACAAATTTTTTACGAAAAAATACCTACATTAAAAGTCATGCTTTTCTAGTGCGTATAATTAAAACAACCCAAGATATTAGAATTTGTTGGGGAGGAAATTTTCCACCTCTAGCCACTCCTTGCTATTAATGAATAATCATAACAGTGGCTTTGGCTGATATGGCCAATGGAGGAATAATGGAGAAAATATAGCAAAGATCAAGGATCATCAACTGCACAGGTATGTTTCTTCTTTGAGATAATTCAGGATTATAAGTTTAAAGCGTTGAATTAAATCATGTTTTTGAGTCCTCAGTTGTTGAAAAGTTCATTAAGAGAATAGTTTATGGTCGACTTCAGGTATCAGGCTAAATGGACGATGTCTATGGATAGAGTTAGAAGTAGCTGAAAGTAAATTGTTGATCTGTAATACGAATATTGTTTGTATTAAATGTAAGTAATGGGGTTCTTCTATATTGGTCTTGTTTTAGAAGGCAGAGGGGCAATTATCAACAGCGCTGTTGCTATGTCTCACGTAAACGTGGGTTTTAATTGACTATTTAACATTGATTTCTTTATTTAACGGTGTAATTGGTAATACAATTTGTGAACTGGGATTAAAACCTCGCCCCCTTCGCGAATGGGTATGAACGCCACTGGAAAATTAGGCGAATAGCGTGGAGAAATTTTTTGTCGCTTTAGATTCAGTATGTAGTTTTCTTCTAATATTGAAATTGATCAAGTGCAAGTGCGAAGTCAATATAGAAGACATTTTCAACAAGACATTCTGCTAGCATTGAACCTTAACATTTTTGTGTAATAAAATTTTGAATAAGACATTATACAAGTTACATAACATTACATTCGACATATATACTTCAGTATTTTTATAATATAGATTTATTCATGAATTATTGTAACACCAAAGTAAATTATCTGTTGTGCTAATAAATATTGTAAAATAATATTATTTCATATTAAAAATAATTAAAGTTTTAATTTTTATTTTTTTATGGTTACGTACCTTGTGATATAATTTCCATTTAGAATTAAGATCTTCTAAAGCAGCTAAACTAATTCTAAATATGTTTAAATCTTGTTGTAATAATGCTTGGCCGAAAACTTGTAACACTGCTAATAATTGTTCCGGTTTTTGAGGATGTTCTACACCAGGGTCAGAATCACTGCATCCTGGTGAGTAACCCAATCGGACTTGTGATACATAAAAATACTGCCAACGGTGAAGTAATATACTGAAAAATAAAAGAAATACGTTATCATTGCTACGAATTCTTTGCAAATTAAATTTGTTTAGCAAAAGTAGTAAATAATTTAGAATTGTATTTTTATTCTAAACGATATTTTTTATGGTGTGGCTAAATGCGACGGCATCTAATATACAAATCAATAAATCAGTCGGCCGACGAATTAATTATCATTCAAGTAAATTGTCCGCCAATAAAATAGCTAGTTGTGTGTTAAAAGCAGAAAGTAGCACTTTGGCAGTTGAGACAGGAAGTTGCACCGCGACGCGTTAGCGGAACGTAGCAATCTGTCGACACTGCCAAAGGACTTTCTGCTCGAATTACACACAAGATTTTTTCTACGATCACACCAAAATAAAATAAATAATTGAATTTTATTAGAAATGGGTTTCCTTCTTTCGTTATAATATTGCACTTTTATTTGACAAAATCCTACTATTTGAAAAAAAATATATATATATTTATGATTTAATCATTTAATTATTCACAGAAAATATTGTTGGATGATTTAAAATATTATAAAGTCATTTAATATCTATTTATATGAAACCAGTTACGAAATGTCGTATTTTATGTAACGAGTGAATATATGTGGGATGAGCAGAGGGAGGTCCGGCAACATGAACGAGTTACATAAAACGAGATTTCGTAAAGTGTTACATACAATTTTTTTTTTAATTTTGACTAGATTATTTATAAAATTGTATTTTGGTAAGACATACCTGACATCTAGGCAACCAATATTACCTTCTTGTATTGTATTAATTATGTATTCTTAACGATTTGTAGTGTGTTTATAAAGTTTATTAGAGTTATTTACTTTTCAAAAAATGGTTATTTTGTCATGTATTGTGTTTTAATTATTTTGTGCTAGTTTATAATGGAAAATAAGGATCAAAACAACATTATTACTAAATTGTAAGTTTAACCCATAGCCCTCAGAAAGTCTAGATACCGCTTGGCGTATACTGTCAATACAAAAAAATGACCCCATTCAAGCTTGTCGCCATGTTAGGTAAATTTATGTTTTGGCTACACTGATTTTTAGTTTGTGTGTTCTGTAATACGTGAACACCGATAATCTGCACTTTGTTATTAGTTATAAGTGAGTGAGACGCACAATTTCTAATTTCAAATTAAGAACAAAACTTTGACAAACCTATTTGATTTTCTTAGATCTGTTCAGACAGGACCGGCTTTATAAAATTTCTCGTTCTTGAAATGTTATTTTTACATGGTTATATATTATTGGATAAGTGGTTTGTGTACATATTGCTATGAGAATTATAGAGAAATTCAGTGAGATTTATGTAATATAATTCAAATTACAAGTAAACCATCTGTTCCTGTTTGGCAATATGGAGAAAATACCTACTTCAATGTCAAATGTACTATTTAAAAGAATGTGATTGTTAACCGGTCATTTATTTATATTATATTATGAAAATAAAAACTCGAATTTTTTAACTAGGGAAAGATATACTTACATCGGTAACAAAGTATTTTTAGAAAAACTAATAGATTACTCCTATTCCTATAGTTTATTTGAAAATGAATAATAGCAAAATTATATAAAAATATGGACCTTTGCCATAAAAACTGTGCTACCAAGCATTTTCAAATAAACTATGATAATTTGATTTAATAGAGCGAGTATAAGATCTCACCTGTTAGAGAAATTGGGGCATAGGGAAGAGATTATGAAGCAGGTAAGCAAAGTCATTGCAAAAGATAAATATATAGAAGTTATTTTAAAAATTTGATAAAAAACTAGTGGAACAACAAATGGAGTTGTCGCTATCGGAGATCCAATCAGCAGAAAGTAAAAAAAAAACTTTGGGAATGTTGGAAAAGGACCCAGCAATAGGCTGCTATACTGCTAGAGTGGAGAAGCAGTATTGTTCTAATGTAGAAAACCCAGGGACATACAGCAGTGCACTAACCATAGGCGAATAGTCACTAAATTATACAAGAGTCCCATCTCGATTTTATTTTTAAATATTTTTGAGAATACCTATTATTATTTGTTACATTGAGTTTAATAAAACCACAGATTTCGAATGTATTGAAAGTTATTTAAAAAGTACCTCTATAAATATATAGAAAATGTGTATATGACTAACTGGTTATATTAATCTTTTTTTGGGGTAGGTAAATATATTTTGAAAAATTTACAAACTTCTTTTGAATTAAAGACAAAATATTTCTGTTTTTATTAACTGAACAATATTTTATAAGAACATAATATATACCTATTTAAAAGAAAATATTACATTTTACAAGTATCGCATATTTATATGAAATAACTTACTCAATAAGAAAGAATTAAATGAAACAAATTAATAAACAATGGATATGAAAAATTGCTTTAACAATTTAATCCTTAGATAAACTTATTCTTACATATTGCTTTAATCAATGTATTTACTATAAAAGTATATTTCCTATCATTTATTACATATAATAAAATAAAGCATAAAACATACAAACTATAATATGTACCTACTTAGAACGGAACTAATATTATTGTATCAAGGTAGTAATAGTGGACATTTTCCGAATAAAAAAAAGTAAAAAAGAAGTAACGGTCGACACGTTTTTCTGACTATTGGTCTTCATCAGTACGGTGCAGCCAAGTTCAAAGGATCATGGAATTTGTGTTGGAAAAATTGTACAATAGGTCACTAACAAGGAGCTAATACCACATTTGCCGTTTCAGCTAGTATCCCCAAATTTTCTGGGCTTATACTAAAGTCACAAAATGATTCAATGGTCTTCCTATGGCTATCAGTTATTCTTTCCTAACATTTTTTGGTATGCTACAACAAAACATACAAATTATTTGATTTTGTAAATACACAAATATTTGTGAAAACTTACACATGAAATGTTATTCCTTCCTTGTATCTTCTACCGTTAGATGCATTGTTACATTCACGTACAAAACAAAAAGAGATTTAGAAAGCCTGTAAAAATTTAACACCAAACCACAAATGTTTTTTATTAAAATAAAACATTAAACGACTAAACTAAAAAATAATGTTTTAAATAAAACCTTTACTAGAAGAACAAAATAAACAACACAACAGATAATAAAATCGATTATATACGTCTAACGCCGATCTTACGCTTATTACTAAACTTGCGCCGATTCTGTCTTGTCAGTAGTGCCAACTTAAAATTTATTGACATTTATTTATCATGGCGCCTATCATATGGGGGGTCAAAATGTTTTTACGATGCGGTATCTAGACCTTCTGAGGGCTATGGTTTAACCAAATTCTATTTTTGTAAGCCCTTCTTTGATATAAACTTTCATTATAAAACTAAAAAGTTTATTTTCATTTGTTTTCTTTTCGCATTGGTGACAATTAATTTTTCGAAACTAGTTTCATAACATTATGCAACTGGTTGGCGTAAACTAGATCATTTTGACAGTTACAGCGATTACAAAAAATGTCACTTTAAATTTCAATGAAATGCCGTCGAACATAAATATCCAATTTGAGTTAATTATGTTAACAGAACTTACCTGTATAATAATGAAATCAAAGCTACAGAAACGTCTGGTGAATTACTTCCTTGAGAAACTATCAATGGATAAATATTTTCCATGCATAATTGAAGAATACCTGGTAAAAACGTTTTATAGCCATTTCCTGGTGCTTCGATGACTAACTGTAGTATCTGTAGTAGTTTGTCGAGGCCACAAACAGAACTAGCTTGACCTTCATTCATTGTTACCTATAAAATAGTAATAGACAAACACATTCCTTTCATTAAACATTACTAAAATTGTTAAAACTTCATGTGTTTCAAACAATTACTGCTCAAAAACAAAAATATGTTTTAAGTAGAGAGTCGAGATTTATGAATAAGTATTTTAAATTGTACTAACTTGCATGAACACTTGAACAGCATTTTTAGTCTCATCAATCCCCAATTGTTGCTGCAACACTGCCATAACTCTCAAGAAAAACGTCAAAACATAATTACTGGCTTCTTTGCCCCTCACCAATATTGGAAACATATAGAGTCCATGATGAATAGTAGGCTTTAAAGCGATGGTTAATAACTTTTTCGAAGCTATAGGAAAATGTCGACAGCTTTCGACTATCACAGATAAAGAGGGAAGAGTATTTTCTATAACGTCCTGTATTCGATCTTCTCGAGAATCTAAATTTAGATCTCTAAAATCTTTTGTAAGATTTTCAAAAAATGTGCTTATAAAAGCATTCCTTTGTAGAGAATCTTCATGGCTCAATTCTCCCCAGGGTTTTAATAATAAATTACTAACAGAATTATTCACTATGCAATTTGTTTGTTTATCAGAAAACGTTAGACTAGGTGCGACATGAATGAACTGTACAACTGAAGGGATAATTATTAAATTTGGAGCGAAAACTATATCGGTAAAAGAGAGCAAGAGGTGAGCCGCAGCATGTTTTATTTTAGACGGAACTATGTGTTGATTTCTTAATACCGGAAGGGTAATATCTAAGACTGCTTTTAGAACATGGTTGCTTAGGATACTTTTTCTAGTTGTCCAAGAAAGAAGTGTTTGTACTGCAGCCAAAAGTTGACTATGCCTGAAAAAAAAAAGCATTTCGAACATTTATTGAACAGCAAGCAATACTAGGTAAGTATATTTGAAAAATAAGACCATTTAACTCGGCAAAACAACTATTTTCAGAGCTATATGCTTAACAGGACATTGGATTACAGTTTCACGAACACGTTTTATAACACCGTTGAGCCCGGAAGCAGTTGTTTGTGTCATAAGGCGGTCGGACATTTTCCAGAATTAAAATCGGAACTGGAGATATGATGGCAATTACCTTTTATTTTTGATCTATTTGCCTTCTATTTAAGAGTAAGTATTCCATATCAAAATATGTCACAATTATGCTAAAATGTTTGGCATATTTTACTTTGGGGTCGTTCAATTATTACGTAAGAACGTTTAGGGGTCGGGAGGATTCATGTTTTTTTAATTTTTGATGACAAAGAAGGCGGGGGATATTATAAATCTTACGTTAAGATAAAATAAATATTGAAAATGTTATAAAAATATTTTTATTTAAATTATTAATATTATTTTGAGATTAATCATCCAACCAAATTAACGAATTCAAGAATGACTTGTGGACAATAAATGATTCCTAATTTTTTGACTTTATTAAGACAATACTACTTTAATATTAAAAATAATTTAGTTTTTTAAATATTTATTTTGAATTTTAATAAAATTCTTACGTCTTATTATTTGGGGGAGTTCACGATTTTTTTACAGGGGGTGGAAACCTAAAATCATTGAAAGTTTGCTTACGTAATTGTGGGATCTTTTATTTTAGGATCCCAACTTTTAAATTAATAATTTTTTAATTGAAAAATTGACTTCAAAATCGTGCAGATGCCCTTAAAAATTTTAGTGGTGACCTCCAAACACACATTGTACAACAACTTCTTCACCGACTTCAGGTATGTTTAATTCTTTAATACATTTATCTAATATATATGATCTTTGAGAACCTGAATCGATTAAAACTCTTATTTTTTTAGACTTCGTTCCATTTTTTAAGTTAACCAATACAGTTTGCAATAATGTCTGTCTTTTTTTCGTAACTGCTCAAAACAGGAGTTATATTTTGGTTACTTTCTGAATTTGATTGGATATGTTGCTGCAAATCTGTGCACATTATAGCATAATGTCTTTTCCCGCATATTAGACATTTTACGAATGTTTTGCAATTATTAACACTGTGATTGGGTTTCAAACATCTAAAGCAACTTTTCTTTTTCTTAACAATATCTTTTCTCTCGGCAAGAGTTAAATCATGTGCTTTAAAACACTCTTGACTTGTGTGTGAAACCTTATCACAGAATAAACAAGGAAACTAAGATTTTTGATTTTATCATAGATCATCAGATCCTGACCAATTGTATACGGAACTACCCCTGAGGTACTCACTTTCTAACAAAAAAAGAATCATAGAAATCAGACAATGTGATAAAGAATTATCGCTGAAAATACATAAAAAATTAAGAGTGTTGATTTTTTCATAAACCTAATCATTAGATTTTGACCAAATTTATATTGGACCACTCCTGAGGTATCCCCTTACTAACAAAAAAAAAAGAATCATAGAAATCGGACAAGATGGTAAATAATTATCGGTAAACATACATGAAAAATGAAGAGTTTGAGGATTATTCTCATGGACCCAATTATTAGATTTTTACCAAACTTATATGGGACCACCCCTGCAGTGCCCCCTTTCTAACAAAAATAGAATCATTGAAATCGGACACCGTGTTAAAGAATGATCGCTGAGCATACATGAAAAAAAATTTTAAAAATATACAGACGAATTGAGAACCTCCTCCTTTTTTGAAGTCGGTTAAAAAAAACAATAATATAGATATATGAATGTGTATAATGCACATACTTTGATTTTCTTTTACTATACGGAGAATGGTCGCACTGCGCAGCTTTCTGAGTGCCTTTTTGAACCCTTATTACGTGTTGCCTACATATTGGCGCAATATTTTTAATAGGTGCGTTTTAATCATCCGCTTCTGCTTCGGAATTGTCGGTTTTATTGTTTTAATCTGACAGGTTAAAACGACTAAACCGACAATTCCGGAAGCAGAAGCGGATGATTAAAACACACCTGATATTTTGCTTGCTACTGTCAGTGAATATTATTTTTGAAGTCACAGTTTATTGCTAAAGAATTAGTTAGCTCACTCGGACCAGTTGAAAGTTCCAAAATAACATCCACTCCAGGGATACAAATTCAGGATACGCAGAAGACTGCTGTTTTATTATAGGCGGTTGTCATATATTGTATTATCCGAGTTGCACAGTGCATAAACTGAAACATTAAGATCAAAAGTGCCGACGCAGAGTGAGCGATCTGATGATTCTTTAGCTGTAAACTGTGTCACAGGGTTCAAAATGGCCGCGCCCTATGTTGGGCGTGTCGGACCTCTCTCTTGCCTCGTATATTAATCAAAGTATGTGGTATAATGTAATTCCATCATGACAGAAAATTAAAAATAATAATGACAACATGTACAAAAACCCTGGCAACCGAGGTTGTTAGGAAGTTATACAGGTTGAACCACTAAGACTGCCTCAAAGATCCAATAAGGGGCGAAGGAAGGTAAATAGTATGCTCAAGTCACTACAGTAATACTTGAACGACCCCTTTTGCAGTGCAACTTCTTAGGAGAATTTTGATAAAATATAACAATTAAACTGAAAGCTAAATAAAGGTTTTGTAAATATTTAATTCTTTTTTAGATGATCCAGTAACGACCCTTAAGTCACATGCACCAAATTTATTTTAAACTTATGTGGACACTTTGAATTTGAGAAAAATGAATATGTAATGATGCTGTAGATTTATCTAATTAACTAATTTACAAATTTAGGGATGAGGCTGTGGTTGGGATTGAGTACGAAGGTGTAAAGAAGGGTCCTTTATTTCTCACAAACTCAATTTATTGGCAACCGATTTCGAAGTGATCACTTCATCATCAGGCACATCTAAATGGAAAGTCATGGAGTCAATATATTGAAAGGTGAAAATTATTTAATACAAAAATGAAAATTGAATAATTTACAAAGTGTTCATCAATATTAGTTTCCTAATTCTTATTGTAAAATTGTTATTTTTACTTACAGTTCAACAAAGCTTGAGGTTAGTCTTGTATCTCCCTCCCTAGTGATGAGTTCATAAAAATTTGCCTTATTAGATAAAGAGGCACTTTCTAAAATCTTTTCTAAAATACTATTAATTACTGTAGTAGGTGATTGACAGCCCTCCGCCGTTTGGTCGATATAAACAGATGATAATCTAAAATAAAAAGGAGTTTTAGTTACAAGGGCTGTTATCCTCTGAGCCTATCTAGTAGACGATGATATTTTATTAACAAATTTTTTCTGACATTTCAATAATGTTGTTTACAAGTTAAGATAATGACAGTTGTCAAATATACCTGATTATTTGTAAGTTACATAGGTTTAAAGTAGGTAATCTCTTCGCTAACAAGTGATGGTAATGAACAAGGAGTTTTGTGTGATTTTTTACAATTTCAAGCATGGCTTAAACCGTAACGAATATTTTGAGAAAATCAATCGAGTGCTTGGTGACAATTCGTGTTCCTTCGCTACTGTAAAGCGGTGATACAATGATTTTAAACTTGGTCATCTTTCCTTATATGACAGTTTTCGAGCTTTTAAGCCAAAAAAACGGCAGTTACAGAAAAAATATTGATCCTATTCGGAACATGATTAAATATGACCGACACATTACTGTCAGATACATTCAAGCAATTTTAAGAAATGGGTGTGAAAGCACAAAAATTTGAATAACCGTAAGCTATGTTCTCGGTGGATTTCTCGCAACTTGACTTTAGCTCAAAAAGAAGACCGTGTGAAATGGGAGATGGTACAGATCTACACTAAGTCGATTTGACCTTGGATCGTCTAATTTGGTGTACATCATCATAGGTGATAAAACATGGGTATACTGCTATGATCCCGAAAAAAGGAACAATCGTCAGTTTGGGCCTTTGAGAATGAATCGGCTCCAACAAAAGTGTTCGTGACAAAAGCCGGAACAAAAAAACCGTCTCCACTTTTTTTTTAATTACTGGGCATGTTTCCACTGTAACACTGGAGGACAGACGCACTATTAATCTAGAATGGTGCACTACAGTTTGTTTACCTCGGCTTCTCCAACAGTTTCGCACCTAATACTTATTAAAAGATTTCCTGGGTAAAGGATAAATTACCGTCTTTACGTTTTACATCGGTCGAAGAAGCGGCTGATATGCCTTTAAAAATTCAATAAACAAACTATGGCTAGAAGATTGGAGAAAATGGTTTTTACGGATGCAAAAATGCATTGACTGTGGAGAAGAATACTCTGAAAAATTATAAATATTTCTTTTGTAAATATAAGGTCAATGGAAAAATAACAGCCGTATTAAATTTTTTTAGTCTTGTCAGTTGGATTAATAAGAGTTGTTAGCTAGCATATTTGGATGAGTCACGGGTCTACTTGACAGCAAATACCTACTTGTAGATCTTGGTGAATGACATTGTTATGTTATGTTGGAAATGGGATGATATGCTGCAACCTAAAAGATCTATTGTGTCCCCTTCTGTCGCGTATGCAGCAAGAAAATGTCTCAATGCCTATAACGATCCTTCCAATCCTATCTCCTCAAGGAAGTCCAGGATTTGGAGTGACTTCAAGTTAGGTAAATCTTCCTCTTCTATTTGATATGCTCCTAGGTATAGTGCCCTTGGGTTCTGGAGTGATACACATTTAGTTAGAATGTGCATGGAGGTTTCGTCCTCCTCCTCACAGAATCTGCACTCACTATCATCTACTACTCTGTTTACTAAGATGTCCTTCTAGTCGGCAATGTCCCGTAAGGATTCCTGTTCTTGCTCAGGCAGATGCAGGCTATTTTCTGTTAGGAATGTACCATGGAAAATTGCACATGTATCAGAGTACTTGAGAATATTCAATATTTTGATCGTTTAAGTCACTAGTAGTTCTTCATTATTTTAATACCATACGTAGATGAGTCTTAATACTTTATATTTTTGACTAGGATGTAGATTTATTTCAATAAGCCAGAGAATATGATGTCATAGGGTCCCGTAGCGTCGATCCATTTCTTACCCGAGTTGCAGCTCCGCAACGATACCCTATGTGTATGGACATCATATATGTAACCCAATTTACCGAATCCGCAAACACATGTAGAGTAACTCTTACGTCGACACAAGTACTTGTAGTTTTACATCGGGCATTCGTACTCAAACGCCCGTAAGGTTATTTTAATTTTTAATATTAAATTGTCACAAAATAATCAGGAAGTAATCCTAAAGTTTGGAGACTAGTTACTCTTTTCTCATGGGAATAACTTCGAACATTCATATTTCCGTAATTCATTTATACCCGAATGAAATACCTACATACGCAGAAATATTTCAGACATCACAAAAATCCAAAGTAATTTGCGTGTCCAAGCTATGTCTTATTAATATTTCACACCCACGTACATACCTTCTAGATTTCTAAGAAGTACTTTATCTTCTAATCGAATTTCATTATTATTTATCCTAAAAAGACAGTTTAAATTTCAAATATACAAGCGTTGCAAATTTCAAACGATTTCAAAGAGCTTTAACCAATTACGTAATTCTTTTACCTATGGGCGGAGCCAGAAATTAAACACATAAATATAAGCGTTTCCCGCAAAAATATAAAGTAGATCTTTAACTTTTCTTGTGGATAGTGCTCTCGCGAATATAGTGAAAAATCGATTTCTTTGCCGGTTCAGTGTAGCATTACCAAAAAGGATTACTTCAAGTTTTAAAATCATAGAGACACGACTGTCCGAGTCGATCGACATAAGGGCTCTTACTAAGGAAAGATGATTCTAGCAAAGTGGTTGAGAAATAAGCCGGTGTCCGCGCCAGAGTTGGGTAGTATCCGGATACTTCTGTATCCGAAAGCTGTATCCGGATACTTTTCAAATTTTGTATCCGGTATCCCTATCCGTGACCAAATTTGTAAGTATCCGGATACTGGATACTTTTTTCGGCATTCGGATACTTTTAAATTATTTACCAAATCGTAACTGATCCAATCCATATTATCTCTATTAAAATGTATAATCGAAATACTTTAAGCTACCCTGTATAATTAGAAATAAAATACGTATTTTTTAATATTACAATATTTAAGACACAATTGCAATACTTAAATAAAAAATAGTAAAATAATTATTTTATTGTGATTTGTAGTTTTGTTTGGTGCACCCTGTAAAATTTAAAATAACGCAAAAAAAATTCTCATCGCTAAGGATGAATTCGACAATTCACCCATTATAAAGCCCAGATAGCACACGACGTCTGAAAGACGTCTTTTTTGTGTCTTGGTTTGGTCTCAATGTCCTAGGACGTTATTAAGACGTCTTATAAGACGTCTGTCAAAAGCCATAATTCAGACGTATTAATGTGAGAGCTCAAAGACGTTTTTAAGACGTCTTTCCAAATCCATACATTAATGTGAAAGCTTAAAGATGTCTTTAAGACGTCTTACAAACGTCTTTCAGTCGGACGGAAACTTGCACGGTTTACATAATTCAAATTTAAAAGAAGAATCAAATGAAGTGAAGTTTGACGTTTGACTTAACACTGCCTTCAAGCCCAAGCTTATTGTGAATTATTGATTATTCTATTGCGTACGCGATTATAGCCGCCAAAAGTGTGTTTGGGCTACTTTGTGCATTTGTGTTTGGTCTTATTTAAGGCTTCACAAGACCATTACAAGCTATTAATGTCATCTTAAAGACGTCTTATTTATGGCTTATTTTAAGCTCTACAGACCAATATAAGCCATTAATAAGACGTCTTAAAGACGTCGCTTTTTGTAACATCAGACGTCTTCTAAGACGTCTTGAAGACGTCTTTCAGGAAATACCAGACATCTTAAAGACGTCTCGAATGTCTTATGCTAGACGTCTTTAAGACGACTTTGTGCTATCTGGGAGACGGTCGGGATTCAGGATATTGCGGCACGTTTTTATAGGAAAAATCCTGCAAACTCTTCTCTGGTGTTAGCATCACGAACTTGTGGAGGTTCTATTAGCCCAGTTATGTTTCAGTTAGTAAAGACAAGAGACGGTTGTTCCTGTGTTTTTATATAGTGCAATATAACTAAACTTTCTGTCATCAATAAATTATACAGATCTGACAAGATCAAATACATGAGCCTGCTTTGCCTATGCCAGAACGAAACATTCATATATCTCACTCCTCCTTTCGACGCTCTCGACTCTACCAAGTACCGCTCGTCGGAGGATCCACAAAAAAATGGATTGTCGAAAACATCTGACACTGACGAGAATATCGAAAGGCTGTATAAACATGGCAAGTCGCGCCAACTACGAGCTTATTTCGTTAGATTTATATGGATACGACACTGGCTGGTTTTTGGCGTGGTTCAGGCGCGACTCGTTTTATTTACACGCACCTTTATGTTTTATTGTTCATTTTGTTTTAATGTTTTATATTCACAGAATAAAAATAATAAACAATTTATTGAGTAGTTTTTTCCTGTTTCTATTATATCGCTTTCCATTTTCGATAATTTATTTATGCCTAGTATTGTTTATTGTTACTCGTAATCAATCTTATTGCATAATTATAACTATTGGTATGAAAACATTATTTTAAGTCACTTTAAAAGTATCCGTAAAAGTATCCGAAAAAATATCCGGATACTTGTATCAGAGTACTTTTTAGGTGAAAGTATCCTAAAATGTATCCGGATACATTGTAAGTATCCGTATCCGGTACTCGGATACTTTTTTCCTGTATCCGACCCAACTCTGGTCCGCGCATTCTTCACTGCTTCCTTGCGATCCTCCTTCCTAGAGCTCCTCCATGGGATTATTACACTGGATGAGTCCGTTCTGATTACGTGGGAAACGAGGGGTACATCGTTTCCCATTTAAAAGAGCTAGGGCTGTCTCTATTTAATTTCCCTCCATTTTCATTCCCGCTTGCCGGCATTTTAGGCGCGGAACCCGTAACGGATTTTTCTTCTCTCCACAGGTCAGACTGACAGGTGTCAAGGGTCCCAGCCATATTTTTTAGTGTCATTGTCAATAATATTGTTGGTTGGTAACGACCTCCGGCTTTGTTTACATTTTGAGCTTTTAACTTTTTCTGGCGAACGACCTTGACCTTGTTTGTTTTATTTTACAGCCATTCGGAGACGCCTTGTTTACAGTAACGGGACTAATTTCTGTTTATTTAATTAGTTATTATAAATATCCTATCCTAGTCATTGTCAGTTACATGCTAATTTATTTTAATAAATTCACTGGTTTAGAATCTTTAACGTCACTCAGTTTAACTAAATATATTTTACAAAAATGCACCACAAAAATTCTAATAATTTCACTGCTAACCTCAGAAGGGCACGGTACACGGGGAGAGTTCTATGGCTTTTCCCCGGTTACTTCCGCCCCAGAACAAAATTCCACCTTGTGGAGACAGCCGAACTCGGCTATAAATTTGAATGTTCATGATTTTCATAACTTTCAATTTAATGACACTACCCGACGGTTTGCCAAATCCCCGCCGTCTGAGCCCAAACCTACCCTGAGAGTACCCAATTCGTTTGAATTGGGACTCAAATCACTATCCACCCCCATCGAGCGTCGGTCTACACACGGCAAATGTAGGTCAGGGGGAAGTTTCCCTGGTGAAGTGCTTCACAGTGTTGGTGATTTCGAGGAGTTCGCTATGCTCTCCGAATTGTCCACCAGTATGGCCATATCTCCCTCATGACCTCTTCTTAGCGAAAGAGCGGGGTCAGGACAAAACGACCTTCACACCCAAGCTAGACCCGACGACATGGACCCTCTGTACTTATTACACCAGGTGGACCACCAGTAATGTCTCGGTCTGTTGAGCCAAAACTATTTGATTTTTTTTTAAATCTGTTTTCACAGCAAGATGTATATCAGAAAAGACAAAGATTTAAAAATAATTTCAATTACACAGGGTTCTCCAAGAAAATGATACAAATCAAAGTTAGTATTTTTTAAATGGGACACCCTGTATTTTATTTTATATTTGAATTGCCTTCGCTTTTCTCATTATAACAATACCAAATAGTATGAGATTAAACAGGGTATTTTACACGCTACAATCAATCTTATTGATTTCAATGACCTGTATAGTGCAAAAGAAACAATTGAAAACCAATTTTTTTTGGCAGTACAAGGTTTTCGATAATAGTCAAAAGTTATGCTAATGCACTACTTTTTTCAATTAGAAACAAATCTATACAGGGTGAGTCAAAACTCAAATACATAATTTTCACATTTTTTTATATCAGCATTTAAAAGTAACTTGATTAAAGTTTCATTTGAGTTAAGCATTCCCTATACCTAAAGTTAATAATTTTGGAAGATTTTTTAAATGACAAAAAAATATTTCACAAAATAGTTTAACTGGCCACTGGTAAACAGGAAATAGACTGTTAATTAGTAATTAGAATTTAACCAACTATAATTTATTATCGACTAAAAAGTTCTTGACAATAAAAAACCTAACTTTGGTAATTAGGTATTACTATCTTGGAGAACCCTGTATAATTGAAATTATTTTTAAATTGTTGCCTTTTCTGATATACATTTCTCTGTGAAAACAAATTTTATAAAATCATAGTTTTGGCTCTACAGACCGTGGCGTTACCGGTGGCCCACCTTGTATATGTAGGTAATCAGAGTGAAACAAAACCACTTAAAACAAACTAAAAATGATTTAGAGGTCAGCATGTCCCTATGCACTTCCTTACCATAATATATAATTTTGATTTTTTTTACACATTACAATGATAACCGTTGCCAATGCATAACAGAGTTCAGCTGGATGAAAGTTAAAATATGTAATTATAAATGTTTTCGGATAAAATCATGATAATATAAATGCAACTAAAAAAACACGATAATACAGAGATATACAGTACTGAAGTCTACAAATATTAACAGATTTAACAAAAATTACAAAGTTAGTGTCTATTATAATAATTATAAGCTTCACATATAAAAAAAAATTCTTCGGCTGTAAGCATCTTGTTCACAGACAGTGTTGTATACAATGACAGATAACAAGTTAGTAAGTTTTGACAGCAGTGTCACTTCCATAGCAACTCTGATTAGAGTTACAATTTCCGTACTGTATATTTACGGTCATATTGAACTTAAGAGTTAACTAAAAACTATAATCAAACAGCTTTTCTATTTTAAAATGGAAAACAACAATAACAAAGATATATTTAATGTAGTTTCTTAAAATATGTTTTTACCTAGTTAGAGTTTGTGTAAGTGATGAAAAATCTTTGAAAACATAGCATAGTCTCTCAGTTTCTGACACATTCAATTTTAGGGAAGAATTCTGGTAGTCTAGTGATTGTTCTAAGCTGCGAAAAATATCATAAGAAACCTTCCAAGGAGAAAGCTAAAAAAAAATGTTAACTTTGTTAAGATATTAAAATTTTTACACCAGACATTTTAAATGAATACACCAGCAAAAAAATTGTTTATGGGTACTGCTGTAACCTTCTTGATAATAGATGCCTGATCTATCTGACAGATGAAGTACTGTGACGTCACACCCATGAGTTGACTGTATTAGTCAAGGACATGTCAAACAATAGCTGCCAGAGGGGCAGTGCTGGTTTATTTAATGGGGATGTGACGGGATTTTGGACGATATTTTTATTTGAAATAGTAGTTGCCAAGCCAGCCAATTTAAGAAAAATTAATAAGCGGTTTTTTAAAAATTACATTTTCATGGTGTTGCCAACTTAAGCCGACTAATATGTCCCCCTATCTGGGCAACATTGTAATCGCTACACTTTACGAGCGGTAACTGAAATGTCTGTTAGATTACTTTAGACTTGTTTTGGTTCTTTAGGAAACAAGTTCAGAATCACTGAATTACACTTGATCAGCTAGGAGGTTGTTATAACCTCGCAACGTGTTCTTGAAAAATTAATTCTTCCACTGTATTTGAGAACTGGAATCAACGGTTCTATTTGAACCAAAACAAAACCTTAAAATTAGTATGAGGAAGTCACAAGTTTTTATAGGTATACACACTAACTTGATAGTCCACCATTAATATATTTGCGACGTTGCCGGCTGGATTTTACTTGAAATAATAGTGTATCTGTATATATAGGATTACATGTGTTGTGTACAGTCTCTTACGAAAATAACATTTTTTAGCATTGAGAATCTCGAACTTTTATTATTCACCATTAGGAGATTTTTTTGTGTTCGACTGTCGCGAGTGAACTACCTTAATTAGGTATAATATAATACAAAAATGTAATAAATTATTTGTACGTAGTTACATGTTTTTTTATTTTATTATCCAAGTTAACATTTACTTTAAATATCAACTCCTGTATCAGTATCTGTAACGTGTGGAGGGTTGGTTAACCCACCGCACTTATGCCTCACTAGGCCCATTGTGCATCCTCCTAAGTATATAGACACCTCCTAGCTTGTGAGTCAGCCTACAAATTTAATGTAGTGCTTCTCTTATATTGGCCAGTGTTAGCCAATTCTTACCAAACACATTTCTTCTAATGAATGAGAGGGTCGGGCAATCGTAGAGGATATGCTCGATATCCTCATCTTCTTGTTTGCACCCCTGTAGGGTACGGGTTCTGGCATCCCCATGATATGGAGATGCTTCCATACTTGGCAATGACCAGTCAAAATGCCTGTGATCAGGCGCAGATTCTGTCTAGTCATTTGATTGCTGTGTGTTTAATTTCACAAGGGAAAGTTATTTAATTAGGTTTGTCACTAATGATGTCAGTCCAATATAAGGAACAGGTCGAAAAAGTAATAGATTGGCTGCCTTCTTGGCTAGTGAATCCATCTTAAGGTGACACATTGTTGATGGATATTTCGGTCAAAGCTTTGTGACATTCTAGTTCTAACCCTGAGTAAATATGTGGTCTGTCCAGGGTGAGTAGTGCTTGCCTGCTATCTGTATAGATGAGCATGTTCCTTCCAGTGATATTGTTTCAGGTGATATGGCTTATGGAAGATGTATCTCAGTGAGATGGAGTCCATGTTCGCTTGAAGCAGTGGGAGTGTATCGAGCGCCTCCTGCCAAAAGCTACACCTTGCCTCACCAGATCCTACATCAGGTTCTATACCAACCATAAGGAGGCGTGTCATTGTCATCTGAGCAACGTCCTTAATGTAAATATTAAGGTGAGTGGGGCTAAGAATGATTTCCATGGCTCTGGTTGGTATGGTTTTCATGGCTCCTGTTGTGTTGAGACATGGTGTTCTTTAAATATGTTATAGTTTGCGGATAACTGTCAATTTTTGGGTTTTCGGTACCCAATATCAACTCCTTTTTTCATAATTAAGGTAGATATGAGCAATATCACTACTTACGATTAATTTTCAATTTTATATCTGTTTCTTAAAATAATGTGGTCGTAGAAAAAATCTTGTGTTTTTTGAGTGAAAAGTTATTTCTGTCTTCAAGCGACAAAGTATCACTTTTCACTCTTAAGAGTAAACAGAACACCTCAAAAATTTAAAATTCATTCTGAGCCTTTATTTTTAGTCCGATGTTCGTGAAATTTTCAGGAAATACCCATAACAAAACTCAGGGTGCAGAAACCTTCGAAAAGTATTTATTTTGAAAATGTTTAACAGGAATTAAAAAAAAAAATTACGCGCCATTCTGTATTAAATCTATAAGAATTTGCTGCTTTCTGTTTTAAATTGAATGATTTCCCACCTTTTTTTCTTAAACATCTATATAGTCTTATCGTTGCGCAAATTTAAAGCTCTCAATATTGTCAAGACACATAATATCACGAAGTATTCCCAGTGGCACAAATACAATTTTATATTATAAAATCTTTAAAACATGTTTTGCTCTTAGTACACAAATAGCTTTTGTCGACGTCATCCTGTTTTTTGCTTTCTTGTGAAATGTCGAAGTTACAATTTAATAAATTCAATGATTTACTCAAACAGCTTAGGAGAGATAATTGCACCCCTTGTATCCGCGCCTGATTCTAATTGGTTTGTATTTTTTATAAACTAATAAAATACTAATATTTTAGAAAATTTGACTTTGTACTTCTGACAGGATAAAAATGAACTGCCATTTTTTTTTTGACGGAGCTTTAAAACGAACCTAGCGAATTTTTACTTATAGTAAAAACATTTTTAGCCTCCTGTTCTTTAGTTTTTAAATGGGAGTTGGTTTACCTTATAGTGCACTATGATCTTACTATAGGTAAAATAATTAAAGTTCAATGTTTACTTGTTTTTGTTACTTTGAACTTATAAGTGTCTTAAATATCACGGTGTTATTATCTCTATAAGTCACGGAGGTCACAGTACTACAGCCGCCATAATAAGTCCTTTATGATGATCCCAATGTCTTATTTGGTGGATAAATTTATAATATTAAACCAATTAAAAAAAATGTATAGGTACTTACAACTAATCCAAAAGTTTCTGATGGAAAATATTCAGCAATAATAGCAATAACTTCGATTGTGGTTTTAAGAAACACTTGCCATTCAGTTTCATTCTAAAGCAAAAACAAACACGAATAAAAGTAATAACATTAAAAAAAAAAAATACTTACATTTTCATCCATATCTATTTCATTTATTACATTCAATTGGTTAAAATTATAAGTGAATTGAATTTTTTTTAACAACGCTGTGACTAATGTTATAAAAACATCTGAATATCTAAAATATAAAATATGGATTATTCTATGTATTCATTGGATAATGATTTGTGTCAATTGTTTACTTACTTTTTGGCATTTTGGGGTTTGATTTGCTTAGCAAAACTTGCCCAAACTGTTAAACAACAAAAATAACATCTTATGGAGATCAATTGCAGGGTAAGTTGAAATAGAGGTGATAATAAATCTAATGCTGAAAATTCGGGTTCAGATTCCAGTCTCCAAAAGTGATGTTCGATTAGAAGGACTAAAAGTTCCGACATTTTTTCCATAAAACTAAAAAATATAATATGATAGGTATGTTTTTTTGTGAATTAAAAATTTCTCTATTGGAAAATATAAAAAGTTGAGGGGTGATTAACTAGCAAATAAATGGGGTATTTAGGGGCTAACAAAAAGGCAAAAATAAATCAATAATCTCTTCTGCTTAAGAATTGTTTCAGATAAACCAAAAGTATCGTCTGATATAACATCTTCATTTTTAAAAATGTTAGAAGAACTTTTTAATACAAACTATAATCCTGTAATATCAAATAGCTTTTTTATTATAAATTGTGATTATGCTGTATTTAGTATGATGTATTTTGTGTGTCAAACAAAAACAAACAATTCTGTCATTGATTTTGACAAACAAATATAACTTTTAATTGAATGTAGTCTTGAAAATAATAAAAATACAATTTAATTTGATACCTAACCTCTATTTTATTTATTGATTACTAAACGAATTTTTTAATTAAAATGTTAAATACTTTAGTAATATATTTTAAGACCTAAAATCACTTAAACTAAATAACAGTTCAAAAACTAAATTTTTAGTCTATAAACAACTTTATTTGAAACACAAATTACGTCATAAGCAATACAGCCTATAGTAATTTATATTTTAACAGTACAGAAGTATAGATCTGTTATCAATAAGCATTTTAAACCCTAAAACGGTTGAGTATTGAGCAATGAGTATAATAAAGAGTTATTAATCTTGCATCAACTAATGACATTCTGTTTTAGTTGAAGAAGTTCGAAGACCTTTATGGACGTCAATTCATATAAAAAAAAGAATATATCACAAGAAAACATCAAAAAAACTTACACGGGATCTAGAGACTCAATTCTATTAGATGAACTTGTAATTTCTTTTAGTAGGTCTACAGTTTGGTGATATAACTGGAAGTAAAAGTCTTGAGTGTCTGGCGGAGTGCATTTTCTATAAAGAAGTTCATTTATTGCAGACATTGCAAGTACGCACATATCATCATCATCCTGTAAAAAAAAACACTGCTGATTAAAGATTTCAAAATTAATTTATCTGAGAATTTATTAAATTGACGTTCAGTCAAAATATCTATTTATGTATCAAGGTAGAAGAGATGAAATAAACCGTTTTAAAAATTGATGTTTTTCCTTTAAATTCACTAAACGTTAATCATACAGTTGGTGAGAAGAATCATTACCCATTTGTCATTGATATATGATAATATAAAACACAAACTTTTTATGTATCATTGTTTACAATCCTTAAAATACAGGACAATAAAAAGGAATATTTATAACTATCAGAGCTTAGATATTTTTTTGGTAAAATAAATTAAATAGAAGATTTTGAAAGTTCCTTTTTTAGATTATGTCTGGAAAGAGTGGAAAGACTCTTAAGATATAAGCAATTTGTGTCAAATTTGTGGATGTACTTTGGAATAATTCTCATTTGTTTAAGAAAAAAACCACAACCCAAGTAAGGATATTTTATTTTTACTTTCCTGTATCCAGTAAGGAAAGTATAGGAATCATGATTTTTTTACCACAAGTTTTCGACGGATCTTTAAGTTTTGGGGTTTTCTGAATCCGTTTCAACCATTTTCGCGATGATAACTGTCTGTCTGTGTCCATGATAACTTAAAAAGGGATAAAGAGAAAACCACCAAATTTTAAACTTAAGCTTTAAATCGTGGAATGAGCTGATTAGATTTTGAGCATAGTTGGAGCATCTAGAGCAGCCATACTCAACCTTTTTTTTCTTCGGGCCACATTCATATATTTGCTATCAGGAATCAGATTAAATACATTAAGCAAAATAAGTTATATTTCTCTTAAGTTGACAAACTATTAGCAATTGAACACAATGTTATGATTATGTTTTGATATAAATGTCACTCATCTTGTTTGTGAATACTTTGAATGTATTAATTTGAAGTTAACTCGAAAATGTCAAAAGTGTAGTTATCTTATCTTTGCAGTAACCGCATGAATTCCAAACGTTTATTTAAAAATAAGCGTGATATTTAGCGCAGTGACTGAAGAATGTTTTCGCACATTTTGCTTAAGATTTTAAAAACAGAAAGTTATAGTTTGAAAAAGCACCTTCTCACTAGTGTTTCGGGCAGCAAAAAAAGATTGGAGTGCCGCAGATTGAGTATGGCTGATCTAGAAGTTACTTTATAGGTGGTCGTTTTTATAATTTTAAGTATATTTCTGTTAATTATGATTATAGAAGAGAATTAAGAATTCTTTCAATGACAGTTATTTGTGATGTAATTCTCTATAATTTTTGTTCTATAGATGAATTTTCTAAAAATGTGGACCGTAATGAAGAAATTTGAGGAACAATAAAAAATTTGAATTTTTAGTATTTTTGTTGGCCATGAAGATATAAAAAAATGTTTTGAATAATTTTTATCTTTAATTCATATTCTAAATATTTTTTTTATCAGATAACTTTACAGGAAAGTCATGTGTTGGACATATATTTTTTAAATTATTAGGTGCATGTAAAATATCAAAAAATTTATGTAAATTGTACTCAATTAGAAAATCAAAATGGATTGTAATTATTTTAGCCTTTTAAGTATATTCATTATTATTTTTCTTTTTTTAGTAAAGTTTTGGACTGTTAAAGTATAGGAAGTTTTAACAGAACTTCATGATCTATTTTTGGCTATTCTACGAACTCTTTAACATTATAATTTGAAACACCAATTGTAGGTTGAAACCTAAATAGTTAGTTTTCTCGGTTAATCCCCAACACTCTCGAGATTTCTTCTTCATCCTATTATGGGTCATATCAAGGGAAACATTGTATCGCCCTTAATACTTTAGTAATCACTGTGGTTTTGCTGCTAGTAATTCAGATACTCCAGAGCTTATTTTCACATGATAATAAGATAAGTTCAAAGGAAATAAATTAAAACAGATCCCATATACAATTAATAAAATCGTACCTGAGAATATGAAGAAACATTGGTAAAACTAAAAATAGCTTTAATAATTTGTGGAGGTATCCTCTGCACAGGGACCCAAGTAAAAAGATGTTGGACAGTTTCTAATGCTTCTTTAGTTAATGTTTTGATATCAGGCCTGAAAAGGGCAGAGCCCAAATGCTGAGACAAAGTTGGTGACGATGATGGATGTGCTGGCGACGGTGGTGGTGTGGCAGTGGAAGTATGACGTGGCTTAGTACCTGAAAAATATTATTTTTAAATATACATGGGAAATGTATATTACACTACTCTGCATAAGGGTATAAGGTGAATAGTTATTTATTAAAAAAAAATGTAAGGGAAATATTAGTAATGACTGCAAGTAAAAACAAATGTGCAAAAATGGATCACAATTTAAGTGATAGCTTTCATGTTTCTATCTATATTTTTTATATAGTATATATTTCAATTTACAAAATCAAGCACAGGTTGACCACACATTGTAAATTGTTCATATTTTTGTTTTAAGATAGTATTTAGTATTTATAAAATCAAGTTAGAAACATGAAGGTTTTTTACTATTAAGAGTTTTGAGTTAGTTGTCAGTTGAAATTAAAAAAAAAAAACATATTTTTAGTTATTTGCAACTCCCAAACTCTTTACAAGATTGTGATTTTTTAAATCTATGTTCTAATCATTAAAGCAGCCTAGTAAGGTGCTTGCATGTCACTTGACGAGTAAGATCTCACTTGAAGGGTATGATCCAGCATTTCTCAAGGCCAGTATTCAGAACTATCCATACTAAAACCCACTACAGAAGCACTTCCAACAGGCGAGCACCTACCCAGGTCTACTCTGTGTTCTTCCTGCAAATCAGAATCCCTGCATACCAGTGACACTTTGTCCATATGACCATAGGCCAACAGACTGACAAGATGCCAAGTACATCAATTAGGATGTATTTATCAATTGATATTTTTTTATAATAATTGCTCTGTGTAAAACAAAGTTAGTTAATTTGGAAAATTGGAACACTTATTTCAATGTTACCTCCTTTAATTCACATGCAATTTTTCTTTTAAAAGGGTGATTTTTCTAAGCCATGAGGGTGGATCAGACCAAAGGTACTCTGCATTAAGATGTAGAAAAGTTTACATGAAAAATATATAGGTACTATGAAGAATTTTGAATTCAAATCCTTTTATGGTGCTTAAGATATTTAACAAAAATGGTTGTATACATTTTACCAGTATTAGACAACTTACTAATTTGCTAGTTAAATAATGAGTGTTCTATAATAATTAATAGTATTTTACCTATATTGTTGTTCTTGAATCATTATTGGTATTTATATTTTTAATGTTACAGTGATTCCTAAACACCCACTTTTCCTCTAAGTTTATTTGTGTTTTATGTGCTGCTAGATATAATATTCATCGAGATATTTACTATAGTAATTTATTGCTAAGTAGGGTGCATAGAATAATTGAAGATTCATTGCCTTCTTACCATTACTAATATATTCCCGAGTATATTCCGGTATACTTAAGACTATAAAGCCAAACTAAGAAATACTAGAACAATAACATATCCTGCCATGTATATACAGAATTTTTTTATTTATAATGTAATAAGTAATTTGTTTATGCTTTTAAATCTAGATAGCCAGCAAACCATTTCATATACTTTTGAATTTATGGTGTGTGGGAAGCACCAAGCTCCAAGCCACCTATTATTACCATACATTTCAGGTGTGTACTGGTTTCCATGGGCTAAGTTGACTTAGTAGCAAAAAATTACAAATTAAAATGGCTGCAGCTGTGTATGACAGCTTTAACAGTAGTACTTTCTCAACACTCAACATTTTTATTCTAAACTCAAAGAACTTGTCATGTTAGGTACTTAATAAAAAAGTGACTTAAAACTAGAGGAAGTTTTAAATTAAAACAATAAATAAACAAATATACTTACCTAAATTGTCTAGAATATTAGTTAAAATCTCAAAAACTACCGGAATGTATTGTTGGAGCAGTCTTATAATTTCATCTTTTCTACTACTATTTTTATAAGTTGCTTGTATTCCCATGAATTCCTCACTAGTAGTTTTTAATAAAGCTAAGCCTACTAACTGATTGGGTTCAGTTCTCAACAACTAAAAAATTAATTGACAGTGGTAACATTTTTTCACATACTATGTTAATATAAAATAGGTACGAGTTTTGAATCTTAGGGATTTGAGGATCATCGTTTAACAAATATATTACATTAAAATACCTTCTATTTATAAGTTAGTATTTTAAATTCAGATGCATGGCATCCCTCTTTTATTATTTAGGTTATTGCTTATGTTACTTCATTTTGATTATTATAACATATTTTATTTACCTCCAGAATATTGTTGAAAAAATGCGGATATCTATTGGGCCAATCATGTTTAGCTATATCAACTATTAATTTAGCATATTTTGACCTAAAAAAATGAGTAGATGAATGTCCCTGTTCTACTAAATAATTGTGAAGTAAACTTTTAATTTCTTCTTTTGAAGACCATTCTGTATTAGACCACTGCTGATTAATGACAGTCTAAAAAAAACAATAAATAGAAATACATAAAAACAGACAACTGTTTATATTACTTCTAAACTCGATAAGGCAAATATTTTTACGTATTGGTTGGAAGTATTAGTAAGAAAATAAATGCAGTATTTCCACAAATCTGGCAAAGATTTAAAATAATTCAACTGTTGTTCAATGTCATGTTTCCTACTATTACTTGTATGCGGATTAAAAAATTCTTCCATGAGATGTTCAAGTGCTATCAAGGATCCGTTATCTCGAGGATCCTAAAATGAAATACATTCATTATTAAGTATAAAAAACAAATAATAAAAACTGACCATAATTTTTCATTGTATTTGGTATTTATAAAAATACCGTTTGCATATTAATATTTACATACTTACCATGATAGAAATATTTTTTTAGCATCAATCTTTAGAAAATGTTCGTTGTAAAACACAGTTTTAAGTTATTATATAAAAAAAAGGAAAGTTTAATAAATCTGTTTTCCAACCCTCCCTGGTTTAATCTTTGACAGATAAATGAGACGAATGACGTTATGTCAAATAGTCAAAAGTCAAAGATGTCACCTAGGCCATGTTCGAATATTCAGCTTACTATAACCTTTCCATTTGCTCTTTCCACTAGTTTGACTCGTTCAATTTTTTATATTATGGTTTATGGCGTATGGTATTTCCAAATTCACGTCTCATACAGTAAAAATAACATTTAAATTTTCAAAAAGTCATGATACATAAATACTACACCCACTGAACACTGAAGTATAGAATTTAGTAACTACACCCCACACCTTCACTTTTATATACTCATTGCGTTAGGTCTGCCAAGTTCCTTTAACTCCTTTAATACTTTTAACTCCAAACGACTCTTTTAGCGTTCGGTTTAGTCCGATTAGTGACAGTTTAACACGCTTAAATGTCATTTAAAAGCACCCTAAAATTTGTCCCACTCCAGCCCCTGACTATCCGAACTCGCCTTATGTGCCTTCAGCCTTCACTTGATAAAAGTTTCGTCTTTCGTCCTAGTATGTAATCGTAATTGATCTGAACCATGACCTGCATTGAGATTCTCATCTTTCAATTCGGCACGTGTTGAAACGAGTATCTTCGTTCCACAGAATGCGATTCGTATGTAATGTCTCTCTTTTCAGTTCGTTACGTGTTGAGTATGCACATAAGAATCCCTGTCCTGAACCATAGAATATGAACACGGCTTCTCTCTGACACGGCTAGTTTCGTTTTCCGTGGTATCGACATGACAAACATCACGGATCATGAAAATCCTAAAATTTATATGTTGCCAGCGCCACCTGGTATTTTTTTGACAAAATGAAAACGTGAATAAAAATAAAAATCGAATCGAAAATGGTTTCGCTTTTTGAAAATTATGAACAACAATATTCAGTATTAACAGCCGATATTACTGCTCAAGTTGGTCTCCTAACTGCCTCAGCTACCAGTAAGTTAAAAGTTTTCAATACTGCATTTTCTCAACTATTTTTCATCAGCTATGTGAAAGTGGGTTAGGCAGTATTTTGTTTTTTGTATATTTTTTTTGTAGAGGATCGCCGCCAACTCATCTCAAATATAGAAAAACATGTTGAAGAGGCACAGGAGCTGGTAAACAATTATAACATTTTCTTTCTGTTTGAAGTTACTTATAAAATATTTTTTAGTTGGAACAAATGGAATTGGAAGTCAGGGAAGTTGACCAATCAAAGAAACAAAGATGTAGAACAAAATTGGACTGTTACAGAGCAGAATTAAAAAGACTGACTTTGGATTATATTAAAGCTAGATCAGTTAAACAAGGAATATTGTATGACAGTAGTGAAGAATTGAATGATGTTAGAATTTCATCAGATCAGAAACAAAGGTTATTGGATAACTCAGAAAAACTTGAGAGAACGAATAAGAGACTCGAAGAAGGTTATAGAGTAGTGGTTGAAACAGAGGATATTGGAAACCAAGTCATGAAAAATTTAGGTGAACAAAGGGAAACCATACAGAGGAGCCGTGGTAGAGTAAGTTAAAAGATCTTAAAATTTTGTATTATAAGAACTGTTAATGGTACTATATAATAAAGTCAAACCTTTGAAGAGAGACAAAAGCTTAACAGGTTATTTTCTTAAAATTCAAAAAAATCATTTATTGCAATTAATATATAAACAAGAAGATGAGACCATCCAACATATCCTGTATGATTGCCTGATGCTCTCATTTATTAGATTTGTGTTTGGTGAGAATTGGCTAACACCAGCGGATATAAGAGAAGCACCTCTTGGCGACATCAACTCAACTACATTAAATCTGTAGACTGGCTCATGACAGTCTAGGACATTTGGGCGCGGCTGGGCTATGGTCGATATTAGGGACAGTTATTTTGTCACTTTTTCCATAAAGATTAAGTAAAACCATAATATTTTTACACTTTTTAATCTTCTATAAGTGTGCACTAACCTAATTAAAGTAACAAATATTATTAAAACACATTTGTAAGCTAATAAATTAAGAATATGCATTTATTCACGACATTCTCACATAATAATACCTAATAATAATAATAATAAATATCCATATTGTTTTTAATTTTTTCGATTTGACAGTCACACTAAGAGCACCTGTGCGTGATTTTAGCAATGTTGCCAATTGCTTTTTGTTATTTGTTCTAAATAAATATATTCGTGGTAATACCATTCTATATTATTTTTTGTTTATGAATAATATGGCAACTGACATTTTTATTTCTATAAATGTGGTGTTGTCAAACATAGTAAAAGAAGGTACATAACAGGAATGACAGTGGTTGTTTCTTCAATAGCTCCAGGCCAGATGATAAAACCAGAATATAAATGTGTTTATTTGAGACTTTTCATTTCAATTATTCAATTTGAGCTGTGTCCAGGCCGTTGGACTCTATGCCAGTCGGCGTAGCCAGGCATGGTTTGATGTTTTTTGGTGGCGCCACCCTACGATAAGTCGTTGCTTCGTTTTTTTTTTGTTGCATATTTATGGACTGACATGCGCAATCACAATTTTCCATTAACTACTAATTTTATCACAATCCGGCAACATTGCAATTATATTTTCCAAATTTGACAGAAACCATCGAGTTTCGATGTTTACAGTCATCAAAATGCTGATTTTTATAGAAATTAAATAATTTTTTTTTGCTTAAATAATGCATTTACAGCAAATTTTTTTTTTAAATGTACTATTTAAAATACGCTCTTTCTGATAAAAAATAAATTTCTTTAAAATTTCACTGTCCCTAAAGTTGTCCAGACCCCGTGGCCGCTTGGGCGTGGAGACGTTTGGGCGCGGGACATTCGGGCGCAGGGACATTGGGGCGCGAGCTATTTGGGTGCGTGGACGCTTGGGCGTGAGGAAATTAAACACATTATTACGAGTACTATTACTGTTTTATTTTCTAAAATAAAATATAATATATACAATTTTATATAAACTAAATTTTAAGCAGTCATTTTGTAATTGTATGACATTTTTCTTAAAAATTCAATAATATTCCTATTATTTGCGCCATGATCATTATTGTAATCTTCAATCATTTTTTTAATTCTTTTATCAGCCTAGATAAATTTTTGTTTCCTAGGTGTAGGTTGATTTCCTGCAAGTAAGTGCTCATAAGCAACATCTCTCCCCCGTTGGACAGTTTTCAGGCTGTTTATTTATACCTACAAAACCTCGTAACTAGCATTTCACTAGTAAACTCGTATTTTACCATTTAAACAAAAAATCAAACTAAAATATTTTTTCAAGAATAATTAGTATATTATATATTGATGAGGAAGCAATAAAACTTTTAGATTTACAATAAATAATCGAAAATTTTTGATTCTGTTAGCTAATAAAATGTTTTTTGTCTCTCCTGTAAAATAGTGTTTTCTGAGATACGAGGTTACGTCATAGTATCCTGGATATTTGATACGTTTTAACGTAGAGACAATTAAAATGTCGAATTTAATACTAATATATAAGATGATACATCACAAAACTCCGAAATACCTTAGTACACTACTTGTAAAAAGATCTGAACTTCATTTATGTCCACTCAGATCAATGGACAATTTTAATATTGATTTCACAAAAAAATCTTTTTTGATGGGCTCATTATTGCAGGAAGGGATTCGTCTTTTTAATGCGGTGCCTAAAAATATAAAAGATGCCCCAATTCTAGGTAGTTTTAAAAATATGATTAGTAATTATCTAGGTTTAGGTAACCTATAGTTTTAAGTTTAAATTGTAAATATTTGTTTATAACTAGCTGAAAGCTAAATAAAGAATTTACTTACTTACTTACTATTCAGAACTGTCAGTGTCAAATACCTAATACTAAAGACGCAAAATAATAAATTATAATTTACAACTGACATTAGTTATCCATCTTTCATAAAAAAAAGTTATTTTGAACGATTTTCAAAAAAAAAAAAAAAAAAAAAATTTGACAGGAAACTCAGTAGCCAACTTTGATATGGGCTATTTTAAGTTTTCAAATAAGCAGAGGTGATTGTATTTCTAATAATTATTTATCTTTTTATTACATTAATTGTAGTAAAAAATACTAATAACTCTTACTGACAAAAAAGCTAATGAAAATACAAATTCGAAAAATATAACCAAATATTTAAAATTCCCGCGTCCAAACGGCTCCGCGCCTAAACGCCTCGGCGCCCAAACGTCTCTGCGCCCAAACGTCCCGCGCCCAGTTGACCGCGCCCAAATGTCCGGCTCTGGGCTCATGAGCTAACTGAGATGAGGTGTTTGAGATTGGAACCAATCAATTTCATGTTAAATGTGCTTCAGTGGTTATCTGTTAAAAAATATTTGCTGTTCTATTCCCTGCTATTGATATTAAAGATTGAAACAGGAATCTACCTAGTATATTTACAAAATATTTTAAGTTTTAATCAGGATGTTCATGAACACAATACACAAAATAACCAAAATTTTAGAGTTTATAAGGCCACGAAAAAATGCCCTTCAAATGCAGCAATATTTAAAAGAAAACTGCATGAATACTTGCTGATCATTTGATTTTTTTACTAAATAAACAATTTTATCTCATATTTATCAACATTCATTTATTTCATTATTATTTATTCTTGAGACAATTAGTCATTTTGTATTTATTTTAAATATACGTAATATGTTACTGTTTATTCACTTTTAGTATTATTCTTTCCTCCCCTTTCCAAAACCAGTTATGAAATATTCCGATCACTTGTGAAGCCTTGGCGTTTCTACTCCTAAGGACTAAAAGATACTAGGTATAACTAGTTGCCAATAACCGCTTGACTATACTATTAATGGATTATTTTGTTTTTTTATTTTATTTTTTATTTTTTTTGTCACTGGTGAATGGATGTTCCTTCAGGACCCTTTAGGTGTTCTTAACAATAATAATAATAAATAGTGTTCGTCTAATTTGCAATTTTTTTTTCTTTTTCTTTCAGTTACGGGAAGCAGATGAAGAATTAGGAAGATCTGGGAGAATTATGAACTCAATGATAATGAGGTCTCTTCAACAAAAAGTGGTCTTGTATACAATTTGTGCCTGTTTCTTAATAGCAGTTTGTTTAGGTATTTATTTGGGTTTTAAAAAAAGGTAAAGATGCAAAATGTTGAAAATCTAGGTAACTAGGCAGTTATAAATATACAGCAATTTTGTTCACAGAATTTATTTAATGTATGTATAAAAAAAAACTAGTCTGTTTAATTTGTAAGTTTGTGACAAAACAAATTATTATTTGTACATATATGATGGTTGTCCTAAAAATAGTTTATGGAAATGTTATAAATGAAACACTAAGTACAATACTATACTGCAAATACATGGCTCAATATCATATGTTTAAAATAAAGCAGTATTAAAATATTATTTATTGACAAATTATTATAATGCTGCTCATACATTTTTAAATTTGGCTTGGCTCTATAAGTTTAACACATTTTATCTTTAGTATTAAAAAAAAAGCTTGAAAATGAGTACTAATCTTACTTTATACATAAATATAAAATCCTATTAAATAATTTTTGCTTGATTCTATGTTAAATAAACTTTATTAATATTCTGGGCATGCTCGTTTCTTCCTTTAATTAGAGAAATCTCCTTTTTTAAGTTTTCACTTTTAAGCAATAATTCTATTTTTTCTTGATAGCTGTAAGACTGGTTATTTTTTCTTTCATTCAATAATTTTATTTAGTACTCCAATTGGTTTTTCTTTATAGCAAGTTTATTATAAACCGAGTTGAAATGGTCTCTTTCAGTTTCTAATCCAACTATTTCATCCTCGTCGGTTCTCTCTAAAGTTGCCAAATCGTTTCTTAGTTTGTTTCTTTTAGCTTTTATCGCCTCATATTCTTGCAATCCATTATCATTATAGGTTTTTAGTCTGGCTTTTTTATCTTCTAATTGTTTAAATTCAGTCTTATTCTTATGAAATTCCTTAGCACCAACACATACAATCTTCATCAAATCTTCTTTGTATTTTTGTTCAGCTTCTTTTAACTGTTCAGGAGGATCCTTAGCATTAAACATGATACATAGCTGACAAAAATAGGCATTTGATAACTCTTGCAATAAATACTTGTGCAGTTCTTCTGGGGGCAGAATAGAATAATCATTAAATCCCGTTATTTTTAATTCAATTTTGTCAATAAGCCATCCACACATTCCAATTACTTGAGGCCAACAGTGCATGGTATTTACTGATTTTAATGTTGAAATTGACATTGTTCCGGGGTAATGCAGCTTTTTTAATTTATTTACTATCTCTTCATGATAGATATGATAATGAAACATCAATAATATTCGCTCATATTAAATATATTTTGAATATTCCTTCTTTAGGTAAATGCAGCGCTCCAAATTTAAGGGAGTTTATAACTATTATTAAGCAAAACATCGAGGCGTTAAAAACTTAAATGTTCCAGTGGATACATGGGACTTGATATTAGTTTTCATCTTGTCAGAAAAGTCGAACACAAAACGTTACTACTAGTCAGAAACTGATCCGTGTAAAACACCTACATTGAAAAGCTTTCTGAATTGCTTGTTTACGACTAGAACGAGGTAACATTCCTGACTTACACGCCGCTAATATTAAGAAACACGAGAAAACATTCTATCAAATTCATACTTTAAAAACTTATCAGAATTCGGAAACTCCTGGTTATTTAAAATGTTTATATTGTAATTTAACAAATCCCAAAATTTATAAATGCGCAAAATTTAATGCTTTATTCCATAACGATAAAACTTATGTTTTAACTGTTTAGGATCGAAGCACATGATAAGTGAGTGTAATTCTTGAGGTTGCTCTATTTGTCAGAAACGTCATCATTCACTTCTTCACATAGACACATCAAGAAGAAACACTTCTTTCTCTCAAAACGTTCAGAACGCTCAGCAAAACGCTAATTCTCATTCTCACTCTCAGGATAACTCTCATTCCCCCTCTTATGTCAACCCCTTCTCTCCCTTAGTCTCATTTACCCTCGCACTCTACTTATACAAACATCCCAAAGAATTATTTAACTCATAACAGTAACCTTCAAAATAATCACAGCAATGGGCCCGTTCACTTTCGTTTTTGAATGTGAATTAATTATATATTTATAAAGATATTAAACTCTTTTGTCTGGTGGTACTTTTCCCGTTAAGATATTTTTGCTAGAAGTAAGGGAATTCCCATAAAATTCTTTCAGTGACTCATTGCGTCAGAAAATCCCTAATTCCGTTCACGTCTCGTATCGGTTATGCTTAAAGACGGAAGTATCCCTAATATAGCATTTCTGCATTTATATATGTAATTTAAATAGTAAAATTCCATTATTTTTCTAAAAATCATGAACTTATATTTTCAGATTTAAAGCTGGGAGCTTATTTTTTACTTTTTGATTAAAACAATTATTATTACTCAGGCTGAAAATTAACCAGACCATAATCAAAAAGTAGAAATTTGATTTGCAATATTTATCTGGTACACGTGGCAACGTTGCATTTATTTCTAGAAGTGTGTGTAGACAACACTATTTAGAAGTACTTACAACGTTGTCACGTTTACCAGATACATTTTCTCAAATAAAATTTCGATCTGGTAATATTCAGCTTGAGTAATACTAATTGTTTTTATTAAAATTTAAAAAAGGTAGGGCTTCCAGATTTATCTGAAAATATAAACACATTATTTTTAAAAAATAATATATTTTTATCATGTAAATTTCTTTAATAAATGCAGAAGAGGAATGGTGGTGCAATGATACATCCGACAACCGCGCCCTTTTAACTATTAACCGATACGAGACCTGAAGGGAATTAGGGGTTTTCTGACGCAATGAGTCACTGAAAGAATTTTATGGGAATTCCCTTACTTCTAGCAAAAATATCTTAACGGGAAAAGTACCACCAGACAAAACAGTTTAATATCTTTATAAATATATAAATAATTCACATTCAAAAATAAAAGTGAACGGGCCCATTCCCAAATACCCTCAACCTCTTATTCAAAGTCTTCTGATCTGCAAGAAGCTTCAAGTTCCCAAACAGTTTTATCAGCCCTCTCAATAAGTGGCCAAACTCTACTAGCTACTGCTTTAGTCACAGTGTATACAGCAAAAGGTGAACCCTTGAAAGTTAAGGCTGTTCTTGATAGTTGTAGTACAATCTCTCTTATAACCGAATCTCTAGCAAAAAGACTTAATTATACCCCTCAAATAAGGCAGGTCTTCATTGATGGAATAAATGAAGTCACTACCCATGCAACGAGAACTGTAAATGTCACTATTCACTCAAATATTAACTCTGATTGTTACTTTAACATTATTACTTGTTCAATTTTAGCTAGAATTACTAAAAAGTTGCCCCAGATCTCTTTACAAAGGAATAAAATAAATATTCCAAAACATGTTAAATTAGCCGACCCACAATGTTTTATACCCTCTAATATTGATATGTTGTTAGGAGCTGATATTTTTTATAAAATAGTCAGAGGTGGAGTAATTAAAATTCAAGATAGCTTACTAACTTTAATAAACACTGATTTAGGTTATGTAATAGGTGGACAAATTTCTTCTCAAGCTACCACCTTTATTCAAAATTTCTTTAACGAAACTTATGATAATATAGAAACCCCTTATGAAACTTGTTGTTTTTTAAACACCTCTAATTTAAATGACGCAATAGAAAATTTTTGGAAAATCGAAGATATCCCCTCAGATAATAAAATTTTAGGCCCGGAGGAAGCTCTCGCGGAAAAAATATTCTCAACTACAATTTTAGAAAATGGATCTTTTCAAGTCAATATGCCGTTGAAAACCCCTTACGAACATCATAAACTTGGAGATTCTTTCATTATAGCACAGAAAAGGTTTTACACCCTTGAGATGAAGCTTCATAAAGATCCCAAATTATTAGATGGTTACAAAAAATTTATTGATGAGTATATAGCTTTAGAACATGCACACTACGTTCCTCTTAACTTAACCAATTCGCGTTCCGAAAGAAAATATTTTATTCCTCATTTATGCGTAGTGCGCGAATCCAGTGCTACTACTAAATTAAGAGTAGTTTTTGACGCAAGTGCAAAAACTACTTCTGGTGTATCTTTGAATGATGTAACACTAAAAGGATACCAAGTTCAACCTAACCTCTTTGATATATTATGTAGATTTCGATTGTTTAAATTTGTTCTCACTACTGACATTCTAAAGATGTATCGTCAAATTAAATAAAGTAAACCCAGAACAAAATTTTCTACAAAACATTTTATGGAGGGAGAGTCCTTCCGAACCCTTGAGGTGTATTGAACTCTTAACTGTTAGTTATGGAACAAATTTTGCTCCGTTTGTCTCCACTCGTGTACTTAATGAAATCGCCTATTTAAAAGGTTCTGAATTTCCTCTCGCAGCTGATGCAATTTTGAATCAAACGTATATAGATGACATTCTTTCTGGTAGCGATAGTTACGATAATTTAAAAACTCTTTATCACCAATTAAATAAATTATTAGACCCATTTGGATTACACCTGCATAAGCGGGATTCTAACTCTGCAGAACTTTTACAGGAAATATCCCAACCTAAAGTTTTTGAATACGATTTAAATATAGATGATGCCCCAAGTAAAGTTTTAGGAGTAAAGTGGAAACCTAATGAAGATTTCCTTTGTATTTCTCTTCCTCAAATTAATCTTTAAGGCTTAATCACTAAGCGAACTGTGTTATCCATTCTTTCACAATGTTTTGATCCAATTGGTTTTGTAAACCCTATCATAGTAAGAGGAAAAATTCTTATGCAGAAACTTTGGATGCATAAATTAGATTGGGATACAGAAATCGCAGATCCTGTTTTACTTCAAGAGTGGGAGAAATTCTTTAATAACCTTCCAGCACTTGCCAATTTGAACATCCCACGTTATCTCTTTTCTAATAAAAATAGGAAGGAATACCTCAATAATTTGCAAAATAAATCAAATTGGTTAAAACCTTGTCCAAATTTAAAGATAAATGATGTAGTTTTACTCAAAGAAGATCATACCCGACCTTTCGAATGGCATTTGCCAAAAATTATTGAGATTTTTCCAGGTGCTGATAATAAAGTTAGAGTAGTTAAAATAAAAACTAATAATGGAATTTATACTAGAAGCATTAGTAAACTTTGCCCGCTTCCTATGAATGAAGTCAATTGAAGGCATAACCTTCAACGCGGGGCAGAACTCTTTGGTCCCAAATACTTAGTTTTAGTTGGTATTTATTGTATTCCCTTATAGATTCCTTACGGTTTACTAGGTTACACTTTCTTTATATAATAAAAAACATAGTAGGAAAAAGATGTCACAAAAAAGTCATTGAAACATCACATCTAATAAAAAGTAATTTCATGCATTCCATTGCATTTTTAAGCATCTGTATTAAACTCTCAAGTTCTGTTGATTTGTTCACGTTTGTAAATATATTTCACGTTTGTAAATATATGTTTGGAAGAAATCCTGGCCCTTCGTTTTTTTATTAAGAAACAACTAACTCTACCTGTGCTACAGTCGCTAAACCCCACGTGTGCGAGGAAAGGCGAGTGCCACCCGTTCAGTAACTATAGCAACAGTATTCTTATATAAATATGTAAATACCATAACAGTAACCAATTTATTAAATAATTAAACTGTTGAAGAGCCTTATTCCTAATAACTGAGAACGTTATATTTTCAGTTTCTGCACTCCATTTTTTGATTTTTAGCAATTTTGTGGCAATTTATATAATCTGTATATATTTCACAGGAATAAAAAAAATGGTAACATTGTACTATGAAGACTAGAGATAAGGAGGCGAATCGGCATGCTCAAAATACGGTCCCAAAAATCACACGTCAATTGAGCTTTTATAATTAACCGCATGGGCGCTGGTACGGTTTACGTAGTTCAAAATACATGGCTTCTTATGGGACTTATACATAATTTTGTCAAAATAATAAAAATAAACTTGTTTATAGCTAAATAAAGCACAGAACATTCTGTTGTATTTATTTCTAAATAAGTCTTACATATTTTAATTGATACATTATTTACTATTTATTCCTATTTAAGTAAAATGCAAATTATTGATGATAAGTGTTGAAATTTGATGGGTAGGGCTAATTATTTTTTAATTAAAGCTAAATAGGGCTGAGGGCATACTAAGACACGGTTTAAATGAAAATATTTAGTTAGGGATTTTAGAAAATTTTATGAAAATAATAATCAAATTATTTATTGCTAACTGAAGCACAGAAAATACTGTTGATTTTAATTATTGTAAATAAGTCTTTGT